TCCAACAGTGGCACTATTTAACTTCAGCCGACTTCTAAAAATGCCTCTATGTGTAACACTCCAGGAACAGACATGGAAAACCATGTTCAGGTGGTATACTACACCTGTGAAGCTTTTACGGATGCATAAACTGGACACGGATGACTGTTGGATATTTGTTAGGCCCCTGGCATTAGACCCATGGGTGTACCTCCTCAATAGAACTATAGAGGGATGGACTAGGAGAGAACAAAAATTAGTGCACAAAATCACTTTGGGCGCTCGAAGAGCAATAGCAGCTGCATGGCTGACGCCGGAAGGTCCTAGTTTCACGGGCGTAACATCCAGGATTAGAGAAAGCAAACTGATGGAAGACCTGACAGCTAGATTGAAGGGGACCACAACAGCTTTCCAGAGAATTTGGGAACCATGGGACAATAGCGCAGTGGGCTCGGGAAGTGAATGAGGGTGACCATTAGGGACCCAGGTGACCACAGCATGGATTGGGGAAGTGGCCCTTACAGGCCCTGAGGTCATTTGGTGATGGGTTGTGGTGCGGCTCGCTTGTTGCCCCTCCCCCCCTTCTTTTTCTCTTTTTTCCCCTCTCTTCACCCCTTTTTTTCTTCGTTCTTAATTTCCTCTGCCTTTTTTCTTTCACAAGGGCAGGGCTGCCATCAGAAATGTTGGGGCCCCTGACACAGCTCAAGGTCTGGGCCCCCCGGTGCCTGCACCCGAGTCCTCCCAAAGTGCTGCCCCCCCCCACGAATCCCATCACAATGGGACATCACAATGCCCCACCCATATGATCTGCCATGTTAACTAACACCAGTGCTGCAGTGCCGCCGTGTTTACATTAAAAGGCCTGCATTAAGCTGCAGTGGTTCTGGGGACTCTAGTGTCCCTTTAATGTGAGGTAAATTAGAGATTAGTGCCACGAATAATATACTAGATTGCCTACTTACAACCAGATGAGGATGATGATGGGCTCTAGCTGCCGTCTGGCTCCACTGGTCTGGTGTACAACAGGCTCTCTGGAGGCGGTTTGTAACTGTGGTCACAAAAATCACTGTTCTGGGAGAACGGGAAGCAGCTCCATTTTTTTGAGGGCCCTTTACACAGCTCAAGGTCTGGGTCCCAGGGTCCACCTTCATGTTCCACCAATGAGTTTGTTCACAGGGAGTGGAGTGTGTGTGTGTGGGATGTCCTGATGTGTGTAAGGAATGCATTGTGTGAATCTGTGTTTGTATGTGTAAGGGCTGCAAGATGAGTTTGTGTATGTATGGGATGCAGTGTGTGCGTCTGTAAGGGGTGCATTGTGTGTTGCTGTGTGTAAGGGATGCATTGCTTGTGTACGTGTGTCTGTGTGTAATGCATTGTGTGTTTTTCTGTGTGCAAGGAGTGCATTGTGTGTGATGGATGTCAATCTCTCCCCCTCCCCCCCCCGTCAATTTCCTTCTCCCCCCCTCTCCCTCCAATTTCCTTCTTCTCCCCTTCCCTCCCTCTCTCCAATTTCCTTCTTCCCCCCCTCCAATTTCATTCTTCTCCCCTCCCTCTCATTTCCTTCTCCCCCCTCCAATTTCC